CAGTCGCTTTCTGTACTTCAGCATTTAGGTCCTTACCAACACTATGGGGACTTGGAAGAAGAAAGAAACAGCCGTATCATGCAGTTTAATTCGTTTCAACAAGACGACGCCATTTTGAATAGACTTTCTAATGTTGTTCCGGTCCATTTTATGTCGTTATTTTGTAAAACTCGCTTGCAAAACTGTTTTCATACACCAACATACAGAAAACCAGATATGTACACGGGGTTACTTTACGGAGGGCCTGTTGATTCCTTCTATTTACCTCTTCAATGATGTCAGCTTACATCAAATTGATGAAAATAGTAAAAATGTAATAAATTGTGTGACCACACTTTTGCCTCTGTTGGTATACATTTTTCTCGTACGTCATGAGCAGTGCCTCGCTGTTTAATTTGTTTTTCTCCTCACGTGCCGATATCTCTTCATCCGGGTTCTCCAGTTCGATATGATCTTTATGCTATGCTGCATTTGTTAACGGTAAAGGCAATATCTGGCGGTTCAATATCACAACATTGATATCTTAGCTATTTAAGTGTTCCATTGTTATTATACTAGGCTCTTTTGGTTTGTTTCCAAAATGTATGACTATTTTCATAACAACTCTTTATCAGTCGTCGATCTAATGTGTGTACTTGCATAAGGCCCATATATCTAAATGTGTCCTACTTACGCCCTAGGGAAATAGAACCTTTGAGATAAACAAATATTTATTATTCTATGCAACCAAGTCGTCATTTTTTTTACTGTACCGAAAATCGAACACTATGACGATATTTTTGTGTGTTACTGGAATGTTGTTTACAAAACAGAACTTGTAGTTAAGGAATTTGGTAGAGATGTAGTAATGATGTAGGGTTGCTGTAGTGAGATAGTGATGTAGTAATGATGTAGGGTTGTTGTAGTGATGTAGAGATGTAGTAATGATGTAGGATTGTTGTAGTGAGGTTGTAATGATGTATGGTTGTTGTAGTGAGGTTGTAATAATGTAGGGTTGTTGTAGTGATGTAGAGATGTAGTAATGATGTAGGGTTGTTGTAGTGATGTAGAGATGTAGCAATAATGTAGGGTTGCTGTAGTGAGGTAGAGATGTAGTAATAATGTAGGGTTGTTGTAGTGATGTAAAGATGTAGTAATGATGTAGGGTTGTTGTAGTGAGGTAAAGATGTAGTAATGATGTAGGGTTGTTGTAGTGAGGTAAAGATGTAGTAATGATGTAGGGTTGTTGTAGTGATGTAGTAATGATGTAGTAATGATGTAGGGTTGTTGTAGTGAGGTATGATGTAGGGTTGTTGTAGTGAGGTAAAGATGTAGTAATGATGTAGGGTTGTTGTAGTGAGGTAGTGATGTAGTAATGATGTAGGGTTGTTGTAGTGATGTAGAGATGTAGCAATAATGTAGGGTTGCTGTAGTGAGGTAGAGATGTAGTAATAATGTAGGGTTGTTGTAGTGATGTAAAGATGTAGTAATGATGTAGGGTTGTTGTAGTGAGGTAAAGATGTAGTAATGATGTAGGGTTGTTGTAGTGAGGTAAAGATGTAGTAATGATGTAGGGTTGTTGTAGTAAGGTAGTGATGTAGTAATGATGTAGGATTGTTGTAGTAAGGTAGTGATGTAGTAATGATGTAGGGTTGTTGTAGTAAGGTAGTGATGTAGTAATGATGTAGGATTGTTGTAGTAAGGTAGTGATGTAGTAATGATGTAGGGTTGTTGTAGTAAGGTAGTGATGTAGTAATGATGTAGGGTTGTTGTAGTGAGGTAAAGATGTAGTAATGATGTAGGGTTGTTGTAGTGAGGTAGTGATGTAGTAATGATGTAGGGTTGTTGTAGTGAGGTAAAGATGTAGTAATGATGTAGGGTTGTTGTAGTGAGGTAGTGATGTAGTAATGATGTAGGGTTGTTGTAGTGATGTAGAGATGTAGTAATGATGTAGGATTGTTATAGTGATGTAAAGATGTAGTAATGATGTAGGGTTGTTGTGAGGTAGAGATGTAGTAATGATGTAGGATTGTTATAGTGAGGTTGTAATGATGTATGGTTGTTGTAGTGATGTAGTAATGATGTAGGATTGTTTTAGTAAGGCAGTGATGTAGTAATGATGTAGGGTTGTTGTATCGATGTAAAGATGTAGTAATGATGTAGGGTTGTTGTAGTAAGGTAGTGATGTAGTAATGATGTAGGATTGTTGTAGTGAGGTTGTAATGATGTAGGGTTGTAGTGAGGTAAAGATGTAGTAATGATGTAAGGTTGTTGTAGTGAGATAGTGATGTAGTAATGATGTAGGGTTGTTGTGAGGTAGAGATGTAGTAATGATGTAGGGTTGTTGTGAGGTAGAGATGTAGTAATGATGTAGGGTTGTTGTAGTGATGTAGTAATGATGTAGGGTTGCTGTAGTGATGTAGTAATGATGTAGGGTTGTTGTAGCGATGTAGTAATGATGTAGGGTTGTTGTAGCGATGTAGTAATGATGTAGGGTTGTTGTAGTGATGTAGTAATGATGTAGGGTTGTTGTAGTGATGTAGTAATAATGTAGGGTTGTTGTAGTGACGTAGTAATGATGTAGTAATGATGTAGAGTTGTTGTAGTGATGTAAAGATGTAGTAATGATGTAGGGTTGTTGTAGTGATGTAGTAATGATGTAGGGTTGTTGTAGTGATGTAGTAATGATGTAGTAATGATGTAGGGTTGTTGTAGTGAGGTATGATGTAGGGTTGTTGTAGTGAGGTAAAGATGTAGTAATGATGTAGGGTTGTTGTAGTGAGGTAGTGATGTAGTAATGATGTAGGGTTGTTGTAGTGATATAGTAATGATGTAGAGTTGTTGTAGTGAAGTAGTAATGATGTAGAGTGGTTGTAGTGAGATAAAGATGTAGTAATGATGTAGGGTTGTTGTAGTGAGCTAAAGATGTAGTAATGATGTAGGGTTGTTATAGTGAGGTAGTGATATAGTAATGATGTAGGATTGTTGTGAGGTAGAGATGTAGTAGTGATGTAGGGTTGTTGTAGTGAGGTATGATGTAGGGTTGTTGTAGTGAGGTAAAAATGTAGCAATAATGTAGGGTTGTTGTAGTGAGCTAAAGATGTAGTAATGATGTAGGGTTGTTGTAGTGAGGTTGTAATAATGTAGGGTTGTTGTAGTGAGGTAGTGATGTAGTAATGATGTAGGGTTGTTGTAGTGATGTAGTAATGATGTAGGGTTGTTGTAGTGATGTAGTAATGATGTAGGGTTGTTGTAGTGAGGTAGTGATGTAGTAATGATGTAGGGTTGTTGTAGTGAGGTAGTGATGTAGTAATGATGTAGGGTTGTTGTAGTGATGTAGTAATGATGTAATGTTGTTGTAGTGAGGTAGAGATGTAGTAATGATGAAGGGTTGTTGTAGTGACGTAGAGATGTAGTAATGATGTAGGGTTGTTGTAGTGAGGTAGTGATGTAGTAATGATGTAGGGTTGTTGTAGTGATGTAGTAATGATGTAGGGTTGTTGTAGTGAGGTAGTGAGGTAGTAATGATGTAGGGTTGTTGTAGTGATGTAGTAATGATGTAGGGTTGTTGTAGTGATGTAGTAATGATGTAGGGGTGTTGTAGTGAGGTAGTGATGTAGTAATGATGTAGGGTTGTTGCAGTGAGGTAGTGATGTAGTAATGATGTAGGGTTGTTGTAGTGATGTAGTAATGATGTAGGGTTGTTGTAGTGATGTAGTAATGATGTAGGGTTGTTGTAGTGATGTAGTAATGATGTAGGGTTGTTGTAGTGATGTAGTAATGATGTAGGGGTGTTGTAGTGAGGTAGTAATGATGTAGGGGTGTTGTAGTGAGGTAGAGATGTAGTAATGATGTAGGGTTGTTGTAGTGATGTAGTAATGATGTAGGGGTGTTGTAGTGATATAGTAATAATGTAGGGATGTTGTAGTTAGGTAGTGATGTAGTAATGATGTAGGGTTGTTGTAGTGATGTAGTAATGATGTAATGTTGTTGTAGTGAGGTAGTAATGATGTAGGGTTGTTGTAGTAAGGTAGAGATGTAGTAATGATGTAGGGTTGTTATAGTGAGGTAGTGATATAGTAATGATGTAGGGTTGTTGTAGTGATGTAGTAATGATGTAGGGTAGGGTTGTTATAGTGAGGTAGTGATATAGTAATGATGTAGGGTTGTTGTAGTGATGTAGTAATGATGTAGGGTTGTTGTAGTGATGTAGTAATGATGTAGGGTTGTTGTAGTGATGTAGTAATGATGTAGGGTTGTTATAGTGAGGTAGAGATGTAGTAATGATGTAGGGTTGTTGTAGTGATGTAGTAATGATGTAATGTTGTTGTAGTGATGTAGTAATGATGTAATTTTGTTGTAGTGATGTAGTAATGATGTAATTTTGTTGTAGTGATGTAGTAATGATGTAGGGTTGTTATAGTGAGGTAGAGATGTAGTAATGATGTAGGGTTGTTGTAGTGATGTAGTAATGATGTAGGTTTGTTGTAGTGATGTAGTAATGATGTAATGTTGTTGTAGTGATGTAGTAATGATGTAAGGGTGTTGTAGTGATGTAGTAATGATGTAGATGTATATTAGATTATAATTATTTAATAACAATGAAATACCAAGCAGTAATTCCTTTACACGTAAAACGTTTGTGCAGTATACATCTCTATAAGAATGTTTGACATGTAGGAGGGATGTTACATTGCCCTGAGATGTAGCTCCATACCGACTGAACGCCAATAAAATTGGACAATCTCCAGTTGTTCTGATAATCAATACTGCACAAGTTTTGTTGGCACATTATACAAAAACATCCTACTATTAACAGTTGACATTAGATGAAACTGAAATATCAGTTACTCTATTTTTCGAAAGAACAGTAATAGATGACATACACATAGATGTGTGAAGGAATTGTGTTTTCTTTGTGTCGTAAACAACTCGGCTGTAGACAAAATTTGAACGTTTGAAGCAGGTTTTTCGCCGTCTGATCTGTTAGCTTATGCTGTGAATCTGGCTTTGCTTTCCAGGGACGGTCCCGGAGGAACAGTTCCATGAGTTTGACGAGCCCGTCATCAGATAGCGAGGGTGAAACATCACCGTTGATGCCACGAAGAGGTCGCCGCCTAGCTATTGTTGACACGTCAAAGGTAAGTAACCTTATATCTATGTAAACTTATACCACATCTACCTATCGCAAGGTTCACATATCAAATCACGTGATTGTAAATGGAGTGAGGATTCGGAAAGACCATATATATAATTACATATATAAATGGTTATCTAATACAATATACACATATAGCATGGACTAACATCGTGTACAGGGAGTACACCAAACTTACAATGTGTCATCACTGACATCAACAAAAAAAAAGTCTGTACACCACTGACATCAACCCAAATACAAGTCTGTACACCACTGACATCAACCCAAATACAAGTCTGTACACCACTGACATCAACCTTAATACAAGTCTGTACACCACTGACGTCAACCCAAATACAAGTCTGTACACCACTGACATCAACCCAAATACAAGTCTGTACACCACTGACATCAACCCAAATACAAGTCTGTACACCACTGACATCAACCCAAATACAAGTCTGTACACCACTGACATCAACCCAAATACAAGTCTGTACACCACTGACTTCAACCTTAATACAAGTCTGTACACCACTGACATCAACCCAAATACAAGTCTGTACACCACTGACATCAACCCAAATACAAGTCTGTACACCACTGACGTCAACCCAAATGCAAGTCTGTACACCACTGACATCAACCCAAATACAAGTCTGTACACCATTGACATCAACCCAAATACAAGTCTGTACAACACTGACATCAACCCAAATACAAGTCTGTACACCACTGACATCAACCCAAATACAAGTCTGTACACCACTGACATCAACCCAAATACAAGTCTGTACACCATTGACATCAACCCAAATACAAGTCTGTACACCACTGACATCAACCCAAATACAGTCTGTACACCACTGACATCAACCTTAAAACACGTCTGTACACCATTGACATCAACCCAAATACAAGTCTGTACACCACTGACATCAACCCAAATACAAGTCATCAACCAACAAATACAAGTCTGTACACCACTGACATCAACATTAATACAAGTCTATACACCATTGACATCAACCTTAATACAAGTCTGTACACCACTGACATCAACCCAAATACAAGTCTGTACACCACTGACATCAACCCAAATACAAGTCTGTACACCACTGACATCAACCCAAATACAAGTCTGTACACCACTGACATCAACCCAAATACAAGTCTGTACACCACTGACATCAACCCAAATACAAGTCTGTACACCACTGACATCAACCCAAATACAAGTCTGTACACCACTGACATCAACCCAAATACAAGTCTATACACCATTGACATCAACCCAAATACAAGTCTATACACCATTGACATCAACCCAAATACAAGTCTATACACCATTGACATCAACCCAAATACAAGTCTGTACACCACTGACATCAACCCAAATACAAGTCTGTACACCACTGACATAAACCCAAATACAAGTCTGTACACCACTGACATCAACCCAAATACAAGTCTGTACACCACTGACATCAACCCAAATACAAGTCTGTACACCATTGACATCAACCCAAATACAAGTCTGTACACCACTGACATCAACCCAAATACAAGTCTGTACAACACTGACATCAACCCAAATACAAGTCTGTACACCATTGACATTAACCTTAATACAAGTCTGTACACCACTGACATCAACCCAAATACAAGTCTGTACACCACTGACATTAACCTTAATACAAGTCTGTACACCACTGACATCAACCCAAATACAAGTCTGTACACCACTGACATCAACCCAAATACAAGTATGTACACCATTGACATTAACCTTAATACAAGTCTGTACACCACGGACATCAACCCAAATACAAGTCTGTACACCATTGACATGAAGCTTAATACAAGTCTGTACACCATTGACATCAACCTTAATACAAGTCTGTACACCACTGACATCAACCCAAATACATTCTGTACACCACTGACATCAACCTTAATACAAGTCTGTACACCACTGACATCAACCCAAATACAAGTCTGTACACCACTGACATCAACCTTAATACAAGTCTGTACACCACTGACATCAACCCAAATACAAGTCTGTACACCACTAACATTAAGCTTAATACAAGTCTGTACACCACTGACATCTACCTTAATACAAGTCTGTACACCACTGACATCAACCTTAATACAAGTCTGTACACCACTGACATCAACCCAAATACAAGTCTGTACACCACTGACATTAAGCTTAATACAAGTCTGTACACCACTGACATCAACCTTAATACAAGTCTGTACACCATTGACATCAACCCAAATACATTCTGTACACCACTGACATCCACCTTAATACAAGTCTGTACACCACTGACATCCACCTTAATACAAGTCTGTACACCACTGACATCAACCTTAATACAAGTCTGTACACCACTGACATCAACCCAAATACAAGTCTGTACACCACTAACATTAAGCTTAATACAAGTCTGTACACCACTGACATCAACCTTAATACAAGTCTGTACACCACTGACATCAACCTTAATACAAGTCTGTACACCACTGACATCAACCCAAATACAAGTCTGTACAACACTGACATCAACCCAAATACAAGTCTGTACACCACTGACATAAACCCAAATACAAGTCTGTACACCACTGACATCAACCTTAATACAAGTCTGTACACCACTGACATCAACCCAAATACAAGTCTGTACACCACTGACATTAAGCTTAATACAAGTCTGTACACCACTGACATCAACCTTAATACAAGTCTGTACACCATTGACATCAACCCAAATACATTCTGTACACCACTGACATCCACCTTAATACAAGTCTGTACACCACTGACATCCACCTTAATACAAGTCTGTATACCACTGACATCCACCTTAATACAAGTCTGTACACCACTGACATCCACCTTAATACAAGTCTGTACACCACTGACATCCACCTTAATACAAGTCTGTACACCACTGACATCCACCTTAATACAAGTCTGTACACCACTGACATCCACCTTAATACAAGTCTGTACACCACTGACATCCACCTTAATACAAGTCTGTACACCATTGACATCAACCCAAATACAAGTCTGTACACCACTGACATCAACCTATTTAATACAAAATATGTTTTGTAACTAACTCTGTATCTTGACCATATGTAAGATATCATTTCAAAAACTGTTTATTGTACGTTTCCATCTTCGGATCACTTATTGACCTGATTACATCAAATCTTTGTATCTAGAGGCTGGAATCTGTAACATGTATAAAAAGGGTGTTGAGAGCTTGACCTTAATAGCAGATATCGTCAGAATTTCATTTTGGTTGTAATAAATGTAAAAAAAAGTGTAAAACATAAAAAAAAAAGTGGGCGAAATACATTACATAATTAAATAAATAAGGAAACTAGGCAATCTTACTCTATTATCATAGCCTTATACCTATGACGTCATAGAATAACTTATTATTATAGAACAGTAGTCAGATGTCATGACAGCAGTTTCATCAATATCACCTTTTATATAAATCCTGTCGTTATACTGTCGTCTACAGCAGTACATATCGATCCAGTACCAGTTCTATAACTGTTTAACCTTAAACGCAAAACATTGGCAGATAGATGTTACATCATTTTTGTAACATCCGCTGTAAAATCCGCCCATTAAAATGGTGCGTGCCAATTAACTAAAAACATTAAAAAATAAATCAATTATAATATAACTTGGGCTAAAGTCAATTGTGAATCAGTGAATTCACGACTAACGTGTAACAACACGTCGAGTAACCGAGGTTTGCAATAACCGTCATCCCACGTCTTAATTCATTCGGATAACGGCACGGTCCCGAGGATACACCGGCACTTGACGCAATTTCTAAAAATAACTCAACATTGACAATTAGGAAGGTTATTAAATTTTCGGGATAGTATACTCTCATCTTTGAGGAATAAAGATTAAATGAATGAATGAATGAATTAGCGAGAGTACATGTATACTACGGTATTGTTAAGGTAGTGTGTTTCGTGAGTATACTACGGTAGTGACTCTCGGGTCTATAACGTCAATGTTTTAGATGGTGTGTTTCGTGAGTATACTACGGTAGTGACTCTCGGGTCTATAACGTCAATGTTTTAGGTGGTGTGTTTCGTGAGTATACTACGGTACTGACTGTCGGGTCTATAATGTCAATGTTTTAGGTGGTGTGTTTCGTGAGTATACTACGGTAGTGACTCTCGGGTCTATAACGTCAATGTTTTAGATGGTGTGTTTCTTGAGTATACTTCGGTAGTGACTCTCGGGTCTATAACGTCAATGTTTTAGATGGTGTGTTTCGTGAGTATACTACGGTAGTGACTCTCTGGTCTATAACGTCAATGTTTTAGGTGGTGTGTTTCGTGAGTATACTATGGTACTGACTGTCGGGTCTATAATGTCAATGTTTTAGGTGGTGTGTTTCGTGAGTATACTACGGTACTGACTGTCGGGTCTATAATGTCAATGTTTTAGGTGGTGTGTTTCGTGAGCATACTACGGTAGTGACTGTCGGGTCTATAATGTCAATGTTTTAGATGGTGTGTTTCGTGAGTATACTACGGTAGTGACTCTCGGGTCTATAACGTAATTCTTTCACGTAGCATATTTCGTGAGTATACTACGGTAGTGACTATTAAGTTGATAACTATGCTTTGTTTTATTCCAGTACAACATATATTCTGTGTAGAACACTATCATGTATAGACCCTGTATATGTGCCTAGGGGATAGGTCGTTTGCCGAACTGATTCAGTTATAGTCTTTAATTGCTTTTGGACTAAGCAAAGACGCGTGGTGTTACTTGGGCTTATGGAGATATCGGGTAATTACGATTCATGAATGCCAAGTACAATCTCCTTTAGACAAATTATCTACATACGGGTAATTGACCGGCCATATCTGTAGACTTGTATAATATACATTTTTTTGTGAAATACAGGAACATGATGTGAAATTTAGAAATGTATATAC